CCTAGCTTAGCTATACCCTGAATTAAACATTCCGTGAGTGTTTTCGGGAGTGAAATTCACGATGTAATAAAGGATGGGACATTGGGAATATTTAGGGCTTTTAATGAACCAAGTTGTTCATGAACGGCTCGGTGTTCGACTCGAAAAAAAACTCGTTGGACACTCGATTCGTCTTAATCAAGCCGGCTCGCGAACAAGCTCGTTAACTAAACGAGCCAAACTCGAGCCATACCATGTTCAGCTCGAAAGCTCGCGAACAAGCTCATTTAATGGTTTGGCATAAAAAAAGATTAAAATTCATGAATTTTATGTATTGAAATTGGGATAAATGTTGTGTTTTACTTTGATAAACTTTGCTACAGGTTTAAATGTAATTTTGTGCTCAGTTCTAGGTCAATCTTGAGCTATCGTGAACATTTTATGAGCTGAACTCGATTTTAGGCTCGTTAAACTTATTTGACGAGCCGAGCTCGAGCTTTCATTTTCATAAACGAGCCGAGCTCGAACTTGCATATTAAAACTCGTGATGAACATGAGCCGAGCTCGAGCCTGAAAATATACTAACGAGTCGCGCCCGAACTATAGCAAAGTTCGACTCGTTTCGACTCATTAACTGCCCTAGAAATATTGGATTCACTCTTGCCAATTGGTAAACTTAGGCGCCAAATGACCAGAGTCGTGGACTCAATGTTATTGGAACTCGTAATCATGGCAAAATCATAATAGACTTATCTAATCCCATTAAATTTATTTCAACTTGTTATTGTGCTAGCTTACCACCCAAAATTAGAGGTGTGGTATTTTGACTTTTGAGGGAATGAAGGTATAAACAATAGGAGGACCATAGCCTCTGGTTGGGAACGGAGTAGGAGATGAGACAACAAAATATAACGTTGCAAACAATGTTTGATTTAGCTCCCATGATGGAAACTACCGCAACCATTTATTTCCTATGTTGGATTGGTGTATCTATGGATCAAATGAATTAGTGGATTGATCAATGAATCCAAATGACATTCAATCCTTGAATCAATATATAAATTTTGAAAAGTTAAGGTACTAAAATGTCATAATAAAAATTTTAAGTGACCAATACGTAATTTTCCAATGATATTTTTAAGTCAAAAAATATATTTTATGTATCAAAATATAAAATATAAAAAATATATAGGTATTAAATTGTAATTTGCCATTTGGATTCATGGATTCCCCATTCCAATTAGCTTTGGATCAAAAGGATTAGATTAGTTAGATATTTTAGTGGATGGACTGGATTGGATTTAAGGATGACAATTACCCACCCATGAGTAATTTTACCCAAATCCAAATAGATCCATTGATTATGGGTAGGGTAGAGTAGGGTAGGGTGTAGTATATGATAGGTTTGGGGGTTTGTATATGGGTTTGGGTAGGATTTGGATATCGCTTCCACAATCTAAATGGATATGGGTTGGATGTGAGTACCCATTTAGTTGAGAGTGATTTAACTACACATAGAAAATTGGACCTATTTGTAAAAATTAAAAAGTTTAGGTATCAAAATGCAATAATAAAAAAATTTAGGTAATAAAATATAATTTTCTATTGATATTTTGAGGACTTATATGCAAAAAAAATTAAGTTTAATTACTAAATCTAAAGATCTAATAAGTTTAGGTACCAAACTATAATTTTCATATATATATATATATGGTGGCTTCTATCGTACCTTGGGTAAAATCTAGGGTACGACATACCATGAGTAAAAAAATGCAATCTAGACCTCGAATTAACCGAATTTTTGGACATGATACTATACTCTAACCCTTGATGATTGAAACCTAGGTCTTAGATTTCTAAATCAAAGAGCCTAATCCCTAAGATTGTGCCTGTAATTTGTTGCATATATTTCGACAAATCATAGCCGTTGATTTTTGTTTCTAATTAAATTGATCTTAGTGTATGAGATTTATAAAACTAAGACCTAGATTTTAATCCTTAAGGGTTTGGGAATAATATCAGACGCCAAACTATGCTCAATTCGAGGTCTAGATATCATTTTTTACTCAAGGTATGTTGTACCCTTGATTTTACCCAAGGTACGATAGAATCACCCATATATATATATATATATATACAAACCCAAATCCATGGATGTAAAAATAAAAACTCAATCCAACCCAAATAAATGGGTATGGGTACAAATCCATCAAACTCTACTAGCATATCGCCTATGTTTGGCCCGGTTTGTAGAAGTGTTTTTCGACTTCAAAAGGTTAAGCATGGCCAAACACCTCTAAAAGCTTTTAAAAAGTTGAAAAGTGCTTTTGAATAACATAAAAGCAGAAGCTTCGATTTACACCTTCTGTGAAACGATATTCTGAAAATACAAGATTATCCTTATCATATTTTAATTTTATCAAAGAATATATCATTTTATTTCATTTATATCATTTTAGAAATAAAATAAATTATAAAATCATATTATTTAATATAACAGAAATTTAACAAGATCTATTTTGACTACTTTTTAATGTTTAGAATTTTTATTCATATTTTATATTATAAATCCTTTATAGTCATTTTACATAATCACTTATATTAAAAAGCACTTCTAATAGTTTTCAGCCAAACACTCAACTGCCTTTTTAAAAAAGTACTTCTCTAAAAATTCCACCCAAAAGCTGCTTCTGCAAAAACTACAGCAAAACTGAACTAGCCCATCATATATTTGGATTTCATACTCCACCTAATTCGATTGGGCAGCAAAATACCATAAGCATAGTAAAATTGTCATCCCTAATTGGATTGGATTAATGGATATGTATCTTAAGAACTCTAACTATGGACCATCTAAACTGCCTTGGTTCTGATAATTGTGAATATTTAATACTTATCAATGCGTCATGGCATAATTAGTTAATTACTACTATGACAATTTAAATCAAATGTGTGGAATACAAATGAAACTAAGATCACTCGGTAGAAGAAAAAATTGGGGTGAAAAAGCATGAATGGATTTGTGAGTGTAACCAATTTAGTTTTGATTTTATCACTTTTCTATATTATTCAGTCCGTATCCTTATATGTAGGGGTGGGCAATGGGACGGGACGGGATACCCGTCCCGTTTTAAATGGGTACCTAGTCCCATTTGGAGACCAAAGTCCATCTCATATCCCAAACCCATATGGGAAACGGGTACCCATTACCCGTACGGGACGGATAACGGATACCCATACTACCCATAAATACCCAAAGTTTAAATGACATTTTACCTAAAGACAATTAATCAATTACATCCAAAGCATTCATTTCAAAACACAATCATTAATTTTCCTCACTGACTTTTTAGCTAAAGACAATTTAGCTAAAGACAATTACATCCAAAAAAACAAACCCACTGCCATTTTCGGATTTTCCCACTGCCACAATCAACACAGCCAAGAAGGAAGCAGAGGCAAGACAGATACACTCACGGGCTGAATTAAATGGATTTTGTAATTTGAATGGATTTTGAATTGGGTTGGGCCTGGGCGCATGGGATGGGCTGAATTAAATATGTCTTTGTAATTTGAATGGGTACAACGGGTACCCATATTACCCAAACGGGTATTCGCGGGTAACCCACGGGTACCCATATTAGGACTGTACAATCCCAAGTCCCATCCGTTTAAAATATTACGGGTAATATGGGTACCCGTAACCCTTAAAAAACGGGACGGGTACGGGTATACCCAAATACCCGTTTCCCGTTGCCCACCCCTACTTATATTGGTAGTAAAAGATACTAAGATGAATCTTTCAATGTAACTTTTTTTATTATTTCAACAGAAATATTGGTCACCAATTTATTAAACATGACATAAACACAATAATTAATCAGATTGTCATAGATTGATAACATGTTTGACATAATGAGTTGTGTTGTTGGAACAATACTGTATTTTCCAACATTTTTAATTATAGAGTGAAAAATGATCATTGAAAAGTGACGTTTGAGAGGCATTTAAATCTTATTACAACATAAAAGTTGACAAAAAAAAAATTTGTATCAAAAGTAACTGGTCACAAGTTTGTACTATGGTTATCAAACTAATGACATACCATCCTATAGAATTGGATTTAATAGATACCAGTTACAAATTTGGTAGGAATTACTAGCACGACCGATTTCAAGTTTCTAAAAAAATATGTCTTTTTGATTATTTTAATTAAAAAAAGTTATTTTTTTTTTATGAATGTGAGAGTTAACTATTGATGTTATTTGTTGGATTCAAGTATGTATTCTAAGAATTTTCTGTTATTTGTTGAATTCAAGTATAAACGCTCGGATGTTGACATTAAATTTTGTATTTAAATATGAGAATCTTTCATTTTATTTGAAATATATTTTCTTTAGATATGAATGTAGCATTTAGAGAGATCTTCTTCAAATATGTTATATATGCCTAATTTTATATAGTGTTCACTATTTCTTACTTCTAAATGTGTTGTGCTAAAACCGACATGAACTAGTATAAACCGATTATAACACTAATAAAAATATACAACTTGCCAAACCAAACCAATCGTAACCATATAAACTGATTTTATAATGTTGTGCGACACACACTCCAGGCAAAATTGTCACCGGCCCCCTTCCATGCGAAATTGCCCCCACTTTCTCCACTTTTCACAGCCTCCTTGGGCCAAAATTGAAAGCACCCACCAATCCATTTCCCCCTACGGCCTACCCACTTTGGGTTGTCTAAAGTGTTACTTGAGCCTCAGATATGAAAGTTTTCAACTGCACTTTGGCCTATAAACACTGGAAGTCCAACCATACTTAATGACAATCATAGTTGTATAATAGCTTTTCCACAGGATGACATGATCGAAAGTAGTAGTGCTCACAATCACAAACCATAAGTCAAAAGCTAAGAGAGGCTCACTCCTAAAAGGGGTAAAGTAAAGCCCGACGTGGAGACTTCCCACCCCTTTAAACACTGATATCAAAACCTCATCTTTCCCAAAGAGAAACAGTGGAAACTGCATTACAATTTACAACACACCCACAAACATGAATGTAGAGGAAGTCTTCCACATGAACGGAGGCGATGGCGCCAACAGCTACGCCAAGAACTCTCATTTCCAGGTCGGTAACAAATTCATCTCCCCAATTTTTACCCCGCAGTCACTTTTCTGACCTCTGGGTGGTTTAATTTTGGCAGAAGAAGGCTTCTGAGATGGTGAAGCACATAACGATCCAGACGATCCAACAAGCCTACCTCTCGATCCGGCCCAATAGCTTCGGGATAGCCGATTTGGGCTGCTCCTCCGGCCCCAATACGCTCTCCATCGTCACAGATTTGGTGGAAGCCCTCACCCGTGAAATCACCCCGCCGCCGGCCGAGATCCGCGTCTGCCTCAACGATCTCCCGACTAACGACTTCAATTCCATTTTCAGATCCCTCCCGGACCTCTACCGTCAACTTCGCAAGGCCGGAACCGACGGCGTCGCCGGTGGGTCGTCGACCGTTTTCGTTTCTGCTCATCCGGGGTCGTTTTACGGAAGGGTTTTCCCCACTTCTTCCCTCCAATTCGTTTACTCTTCGTACAGCCTTCACTGGCTATCCAGGGTGCGAGTTATGCAGAAATCATCATAAAGCCCTCATCTTTTCCCCCACTTCCTCTGTTTTCGCCTTTCAGTCTGATTTTGGTTCTGAACTACACTGCCAAAATTCTGCCCGCAGATACCTCCAGGGTTGTATGATGAACAAGGGAAATCAATCAACAAAGGGAAAGTCTACATTGCTGAATCCAGTCCACCGAGTGTATCCAATGCGTACATAGATCAATTCAAGGAGGATTTCGCTTTGTTCCTCAGGTCGCGAGCAGAGGAGCTTGATGCCCATGGGAGAATGGTGCTGATCTTGACCGGGAGAATCGGTCATGACCATGTGGATAGAGGGAATTCGTTGTTATGGGAGCTGCTCTCTAGATCTTTAGCCATTTTAGCTGCTCAGGTACTGAATGATAAGGGATTAGCATCGTATAAACCGCAAATTTTGGAACGTTTTAGTAACCATTTTCTTATTGCAGGGGGCTATTGAGGAAGGGAAACTTGATTCCTATGATGTGCATTTCTATGCACCATGTAGGGGTGAGATTGAAGCTGAGATCAGGAGAGATGGTTGGTTTCAGTTGGAGAGGTTCGAGACATTTGGGATGGAAGTGAAATTTGATGAGGCTAAAGAGAGCTTTGGCAGAGAAGTTGCGAGGACTGTTAGGAGTGTACAGGAATCGATGTTGGGACACCATTTTGGGGAAGGTTTGAGCTTGGACAGTTTGTTTGACATCTTTGCTAGATTGGTGGATGAAGAAATGGCCATTCAGGAAATCCAGCCTGCTAATTTCATCCTTGTTCTTAGAAAACTATGAAAGCTGATTCTCTGGTGATCAATAATAAATTATGGTCCCAGTAATCTTGAATGGTTGCGGTAGTTTATTGCATTGGGGTGGGTGGTAGCAAAGCTCTCTTTTAAGTCGTTTTCTGTTTTCATTTATCTGGAATCATATAAGTACACTTTATGCCCATCAATCTTGTAAACTATGTGCGGTTCATAGATTAGTAGATATTATATGAATTAATAATTTGGATTTGTGCTGATATCATACACTTTGTTTTATCGATTAGCAGATGGTCCTTTCGTACGATAGAACTTTACTACTTTGTGTTGTTTATGGTTAATTACAATGTTGTTAAAATCGAACTGAGTCGGTTGTATCGGTAAAATTGGGACTCGAATGCAAGATCAATTTGGATCCAATTAAAAACCACTAGCAATTTGGTTGACCGGTTCTTATTGACTCGGGCCTCGAGGTTTCTTTGCAAGAAATTCTTTAGTGGGAAGGGTGTACCAACTAGGAATGATGACCTGGTGCACCCAACCAATTACCACCCGCCATGTTTCCACAACAATGAAATTAAAATGTGATCGGTTGTTAACTAAAATAATTAAAATGTCCACAACAATGAAATTCCTTCATTGTTAACTAAAATAATTAAAATGTCATCAATTTGCATTATACAAAAATTTCGCAAGGTTAGTTAACTTTGACATAACAGTTTTAATCGTATCTTATTTTCTAAAGTGTGATTTTATTATCAGACCACACATTTTGAAAATTTATAACAAGGTTCTATAACAGTAACATAAATTAAGAATTCATCAAATGTTACTTTCTATAACTTGATTTTATTATTAGATCGCACATGAAAGTTATATGTAACAATATTATATAACCGTAATGTTTTATAACAATTAAATAAATTTGTAACAGTCACATAAACAAAATTTATAGACACTAGATAAACTAAATTTTATAAAAAGATGACTATTATATAAGCAAATATATTACATTAATCTTTCTTAATGATTAACACACTACTAAAGTTCATGAATAGATGATCATTTCTTATGTGCCAATTAAACAAAAATATTATGTAAATTTTCCATAATGATTAAACACTATGTAAACCTTATGTAGGGATAATTATTTATTATGTACCACTTAAATAAACGAATGACATATGTTATTCGTAATGATCAATACACTGTGTGACATTTATGTAGGAATATTATTTGAATAGTTTGATTTCAAATAAATCATTAGTTTCTTACTACGGCGGAGCACGAGCCAAACAATTTGTTAATTTTTAAGAACACAGCCTTTGCACCAGAAATACGGTGCAAACCAGCCCCTCGATTGATCACGTTCCTAACTTCTGCCAATAATTGAACTGACAAATTTCTGCTTCTACTACTAATAGCCATAACCAAGTTCAGCCATAAAAGGCTTTCTCGACTGCTAAGATATAGGAAACATGCCCCAGTACTTGGGTTTTCATGGTCGGTTAGACCATCAACAACCATGAAATAGCATATCTATTTTATATGTGGCCCCTGCCGCCACGTATACACCTTTTACAATTTCATTCTTTAACTTTCATTTCATTTACATCCATGAAATCTATCTTCAATTTCATATGGTGGGCGATTCATTTTTAATATAACTAAATAATTTTTATACTCTAACCAATTGAAGTGGGCCCACTTGCTACCCCCACTTCCAATTTTATTTGCTCTTCCATCTAATGAAATATTTCATTGTTGAAATGGTTGACTACAATCATGAAATGACAAATGATTGCCATGTCACCTTGAAATAAAGAATAGACAGCCGATGTAGCTGCTCTGCAACACATGATTTAGTGATCCCGCATGTGGGCAACGATGGGGCTGGAAACTACGTGGTTGTGTTGATCGCCCCCACGGATAAAACAGTAGGTCATCGCCAGTGAATCTTCCACGATGTCCACCCTGATCCAGAAATTCTTGATCACTTTCTTGTGCAGAAATAAAAGTGTCGCCTGCTCTACTTGGGTTTTCATGGTCGGTGGATCATTTTCATCCACGGCCCCGCAAGATGGCTTCATGTTGTTTTGTAGTTAGGTTCTTCCCACACAACAAATCAATGTAATCCTGGATCTTGATATCATATACCAACTGACACGCCAAAACACAACACCAAACTGCGACCAAGTGCAATCGCAGTCCGGGAATGCAGTAACAGGCAAGTTATACTATCAACCCGGGGTCTAGATCTACTGCTTACTCCGTGATTCTCTATTATCTAGCAAACTAAGTCGAGTGTTGTTGTTTAAAAGCAAAAGCAGTAAGAAAGCAGGAATTGGTTCGGTTTTCAAAAGCAGTTAAGAGTCACTCGGGATTGAATCCCCCTAGCCCCTTAGTTAGGTTCAATTGCAATTCCCTGGGTTGATTTACTGTTGATTAGACTGCGGAAGATCCGACAGTAGCTTGGAATCTCTTAAGCTGACCAAGCCCTCTCAGTCTAACTACCCGGCAGACGACTAGTCTTCACCGGGATAGAAAGCTGAGGCTATAAACACAGAACTCCACTACTGGCGTTAAGAACACCAGTACAAAGCAGTAAACTGGCTAACTCTCGTATAGCCAATCTCCTACTATCGAATGAAGAAGCTCTAACAACCTAATCAGATTCTATCTATCTCAGGTTGAAGCAGAAATTGAAACAAGTTGATCAGACTCAAATCAATTCATGAAACATGCGTCATTCGATTAAAATCAAACAATAATATCATTCCCAAGTCATTACAATCAAAACCCTAACATCAGGAACTAGGGTTCTTCATACCCAAGTGAGAGAGAGGTTCTACTCCATAGAGAGAGAAAGGAAAACAGAAATCAGAGTAGCCATACTCATAAAGATGAGGAAAATCTGCTCTGGGATGTCAATCTTCACTCCTCGGGACGCAATCTGGGCTTCAATGATGAGAAATCCACTCCAAAATAGCTCCTAGGGTTTGTTCTTCGCTCTTTCTCTCTCTAAAACTCTGTTTTTGCCCAGAAAATCGAATTCCCTCTCCTTGGCTCGAATCTGCCTTCAAAAACCCGACTCTGGGCGAATTACGGGCAGAATTACGGCCGTAATTACTTCCTGCCCGTAATTCGCACCAAAACGCGCGTTTCACTTAAGCTGGCAGAGGAGAAGTTACGGCCGTAATTTCCCAATTACCGCCAGTAATTTAGGAATTACGGCCGTAATTCTTGGGGTCTTGCCCGTAATTTTATCACCGCGAGGGAATTCTGGGTAGAAGGCTCGGCCAATAAATTACGGGCATGCCCTGGCCAATTACGGCCGTAATTTGGCAGGGGCTGCCCGTAATTCTGTCTCCGCTCCTGTTCAAAGCTTCGTTTCTCCCTCGTCCGGACTCCAAATCAGTCGCCGTTTGAACCCAGACGCTCGTAGTCTCGTCCTCTTTCTTTTCATGACAAGCTTGCATGATTCTCTGTCCATAAAGTGAGGTAGAAATCCATTCTTCTTCAGGTCATACCCGAGTTTCTTCTCCCGAATCGTCAATTGATCTCTGATTGACTTGAAACTTGCGCCTATGCTTCACTTTATGTTCTAGGACCTGAAATGTGACAAAGGAACACAACCTAGCGTAAAATAGGCCAAGGAACAATCAATTCGAGCCAAAATGGGCAGGAAACCAGAGTGAAAACACGTGCAAATACGATGCTATCAAATTCCCCCACACTTAACTGTTTGCTTGTCCCCAAGCAAACCAAGTACTACACAAGGTAAGCTCACATATTTCAGTCAACCAACATTGGGGACAAGTCATAAAGGCACAGAACACGTGAATCAAACTGGTTTTCAAACATCAACACATGAACAACTTTAATAGCAACCTGGACAACCACCACAAAGGACATTCGAGTGCAGCAAATCGAGTAAAGGAAGAGTCTTCCTTCTGTTCACCAACCAACCCAGACTTAACTCGACCACTCACTCAAAACAGTCAACTCATGCATCCAACTCAAGACATCAGAACAGAGACCGAGCAATCTAGGTCCTCACCGGGGTACAAGAGTATAGAGAATATGAAAATGAATCACTCACTCTCGACCAGTGGGGTCAGGACAATTTAATGCGAAAAATGCGCATGCTATTTCTCTCAATCCCTAACATCTCTTCACCATGATGGCAGCCTCTAAATGCTAGAGTTCACATACATAATGTCATCACTAACTAATCAGGAGGTCTTAGACACAGGTTCAAATGACTGGCTAGGGTCTTGGACATGGGGAAAAAGCCTTTTAGGTGGTGGAAGTATTCATAGCAAAAGGTTCCACATTTCCCAAACACACAATCACAGTCAAACAAACCGGTATTTCCTTTCTGCTATTCTGCAATACTCAACATCTCAAGAGCACAAGAGCGAAGGAGGCATAAACATCAGCATTTCCAAGCCATACCGCTAAGAAACACTACTTACTGGGCATTATTCAGATTTTTTGTAGTGGCTCTCTTTTGCTTTCAATTTTTCTTTGTTTTTCTTTTATTTTTCTTTTCATTTCTTAAGAGAGCCACCACTTCTGCACATATTTCAAACATCTGCCCAACCTTTAAGCACTACCTCCAACACTCACATAGACTTTAGCAGAAACAGCAGAGAATATGTAAAAACCACTCTGTGGAACCTTCTAAAAGATGCAACAAGGGTGATTTTTTCATTATAGACCAAAAGAAAGGATAACACACGGCTCAAAGGGGCTGACTAGGGGATATGACACATCAGGACAGTCAGTTTTTGGGCGTGGGCTAATCCTATGCCCCCATCATCTTAGCTAGTGACAACGTGAATGCTACACATCATGGAAGAGGGATCTATCGCACAAGAAAGAAACGAGCAGGCTCAAATCTCACATGGCTACCTATATGCTCTATCTCACATTCTGATACCCTGAACTAGATGCATAAACGACTGTTAAGAACAAGTAATCAGATCAAGTCAGATCAAGTCACAGTTGGCAAGCAAACAGTCGAAAAACTGAACTCCTACATCGTTCTACTGCACATCACAGTCCTCATCATAGGTTGTCCTAGTCGCAAACAAGTTGTCATGCATTAATCCGAAAACCAATCAGTTCATCCATCAAAAACACAGTGCCAATATGATCAAACAGCAGTACTTGGAGCCCTCAAATCGTAAGATTCGGACAGCGGACTAGGCTCCAAGCACCGTCATAAATAGTCCAACTGATACAAAGCATCCCCC